TTTTTTTTTTTTTTTTCTGGATTAAATAATATAATTTAGGCAAATAATGTTACCTCATAATTTGTCAAATCAGAGTTGAAAGAATTTTTTAAAAAATGAACCAGTGCCTTCTACAGAGCCCATCATGCCTTCCACAGAAAAGACAACCAAACCATGCATACATAGATTTTATGCTAATAAGAGTGTATACTGTTTTTAGAGACAGTCCAAAGGAGATTTCATAATATTTCTTGGTAAATTACACTGGTATTTAACAGCCTTCAGTGCCTTGACATTTTTTTGCCTTATAATGTCCCCTACATTGTCACTTAACCTACTGTCTTCTTAATCTGTTCTGGATCTTTCTTGGCTTAATTTTGCCTGTTCTCCATCAAAACACCATCTGCACCAGTGCACTGAAGCCTATTCATGTTTTCAATTACCACCTCCTAAGCCACCTGTCTTCTAACTACCACCCCCAATCCGGTAACATCCAAATGATATTATAAGGATTGTCATTATTTTACTTGAACTTCAATTACTCTACAGAATTCCTAGAGATTCTTAAAGGCACCATGCCAATGCTAAATCAACCAATAATGAGTGGAAAAAATTGATGTATGAGAAAATGATTTTTTGCAGGTGCTCTTCCTGATGATTTCATTGACAGTTTAGAAAAGACAGATGATGACAAGTATAAAATTACTTTAAAATATCCACACTATTTTCCTGTCATGAAGAAATGTTGCATCCCTGAAACCAGAAGGAAGATGGAAATGGCTTTTAATACAAGGTGCAAAGAGGTACTCTAAATGTTTGTCTTTTGTCTTTATGGGAGATTTTAAGAAAGAGGTTTGCTTTGTTTACCAGTGTCAGAGTTAGCTCAGAGACCAGTACACTTATTTGTGTGAGTATTATGCCTTCTAATTCCTGAAAGCTTTTAGCTTTTCCCTTGCTCATTAGCAGCCTCAGTGTGGCCATATCCTATGCTATTCTAATAAAAATAGAATGGGTTAAATAAACTAAAAGTTGTATTCTTTCACTAAGTTGCTAGTCAAGGGCTCGTGGAGCACCTGTCTTCACCAAGTGACTTCCAAGGCCATTCCAGCTGTCACCATTTCCCAGCTTCTTGGGAAGAAGGAAAATAAAGACAGCACTTTTAAGAAGACCTGGAAATGACATACATCAACTCCATTCACATCCCATTGACTCAAGATTCCATCATGTAGCCATATCTAGCTGCAGGAGAACCTGGGAAGTATAGACTTTAGTTGGCAGTCTTTGGCTTAGCTCAGGGAATTCTATTACCAAAAAAGGAAGAAATAGAAATGCATTCTTAGAGTCAACTAGCCAGCTCCACCACAGTCTGCCTCTCTAGCTCTGCAGATAACTCCTTTTTTCCCCCACATATAGAACCTATTCACCATATGTCAGATTCTAACCAGTTACTGCCTTGAGCTCAAACCCCTGGATGTCTGGAGTCCTCCCCACTTGTAGCTTCTCATTATCTAGCAGCCTGTGAAAGAGAGGGCAAGTTGTCTGGTCCATTCATCCCCACCATGCACACCCACTGATAGAATAGGAACAGAATAACCACACTAAAAGCTCCTATTTGGAAAAGGAAAGCATGAGAAACATAGGCCCATACCAGTTTTCAAAAAGCTCTGGTGAAGTTCCTTGGATAGCTCATTAAAGTTATTTGGGTTTTTTTTCCAATAGGAGTTTGTTTTAGCAATTGTACTCCATGACGCCTGGTTTTACCTGCCAGAAATTCTTTCTTTCCTGTTACCTTCCATGACCATATCCTGGGCAGCTACTAATAAAGATGCCTGCTGATGCTGGTTTGACACCTGAGGATTGCTTTAGGGATCAAATAACCTCAAGCTTTTGTAGGCCAAGCTCATGATGCCTTTGGTAATACAATTCCCTCAAAAACTTAGTAGGTTTATTGTCTGTTTGCTTCTAGTCAGATCCATGTTAAAACGTTTACACCCAAATAATGTTTTGGTCAACATTTCTTAAACCTACCAGATCTTTTTATATTGGCTCCTATATCCTATCCATCCTGCTTTTTTTCAATTTAATGGAGTCTGTTTTGGGGCCTTCTGAAACAGTAGGCTTGAGGAGGAAGGCAACATTCTCAAATGCATCTCTACAATTCAGTAACTCTGAGTGACAGTCTTTTCTCCCAATGTTAGGAGTACAGAGCAGTCAGCTTTTCCAGCCGTCTGAAGGCCCAGATTGTAGGCCATAGACAGAATCTCTGCTGGGAGAAGTCTTTTCCTTCCATCTTTGCAAACTGATCGCTTCTCACTTGAGAACTTGAGTTCATCTCTCTTATGTAGTCTTTCTAAAAGCCACAGATAACAACAAACGTGCACCAACATTGTTAGTTTTCCCCCAACAGTTCCCCTAGAGCTAAGACTCTGTAGGTAATTGCCCTGCCTTCCAAGTAATGCTATGAAATAACTTTAACAAATGTTACCATGGGGTATAAGGATTGTCACCCTCCCAGCTTGCACTGTCTTTGTCCTTACCTTCCATTCCCGTACATTTTTCATTTTTCTTATAGCAATACCCTATTCCTAATATCAGCCTCTGTGGGTATAAGGTTACAGGTTAAGCAGCTAACAAAAGCCAGCCAAAAGCATAGTGACTCAAATGAGATAAAAGTTATTTCTCTTGAGAAAGGATTAGTGGTTGGCAGAGGTTGGGGACACTGGAGAGTTGCTGTTTAATGGTTACCAAGTTTCCGTTTGGAGTGTTGGAAAAGTTTTGGAAACAGATAGTAGTAGTGGTTGCACAATAGCATAAATACAATTTGTGCTACTGAATTGTACACTGAAAAATGTTTAAAATGGGAGTTCCAGCGGGAGTGAGAGCAGAGAGCCCTGAGCAGCCCAGCCCCCACTGGCCAGTTCGCATGACACCCCGAGGAGATGCAGCTACCTCAGCCAGCCCAGTCACCATCACAGCCACCACAAGCAGGGAGAGGGGGACCCAGCCCTCACCCACCCTCTGCTCTGCAGACCCTAGGCCCCCTCACCTCCATGGTCAGCAGAGACAGGTCATCACAATGAAGATTTTCGGAACTGTCAAGTGGTTCAGCATGTAAGAAACAATTGTGGTTTCATCAACAGGAATGAGACCAAGGAAGATGCGTTTCTGCTCCAGACTGCCATAAAGAATAACCCAGTGTGGGCGCACCTGAGTGGCTCAGTGGGTTAAGCATCTGACTCTTGATTTCAGCTCAGGTCATGATTTCATGGTTGTGGGATCGAGCCCCACATTGGGTTCCATGTTGAGCATGGAGCCTGCTTGAGATTCTCTGTCCCTCTCTCTTTGTCCCTCTGCCCCATTCATGTGTGCTTTCTCTCTCTCTCTCTCCCTCTCTCAAAATAAATAAATAAACATTAAAAAAAAAAAAGAAGAACCCAGGGAGATACCTGCACATTGTAGGAGAGGGAGAGACTGGAGTTTGGTGTTGGAGAAGGAAAGGGTATGGAGGCAGCAAATGTGACAGGCCCTCATGGAGCCCCAGCGCTAGGCAGTAAATGCACAGCTGATGGTAACTGTTACTGATTCTCTGTCATGGGGCTCCTCCCCACAGTTACCCACAGAAGTACCAGAATAGTGAGGTGGGGGCTGGGAGAGAAGGGCTGGAACGGTGCTCGCAAAGGCCAGACCCTACCACGCCTGCCCTCCTGCAGGCCATGGTTCCTACCTGCCAGGGGTGGCAACCAGTCTTCCAACCCTCCCGTGCAGGGAGAAGTGCTGGAGGGCACTGGCAAGCAGAGTGAAGGAGAGCAAGGCAGACCACGACTCCACAGGGGTCCTCCTCACCAGAGACAGCCTAGAGAGGATGGCAGTGAAGACAGTAAGGAAAATCAAGATGAGACCCAATGTCAGCAGCCACCTCAGGGTCACTGCCGATACAACTTCAGCGACCCATACAGACAACCAGAAAACCCTAAACCACAAGATGGCACGGAGACCAAAGCAGCCAAATCTACAGGCTGAGAAGTAGTCTGCTGGCTGAGTAAATGCCGGCTTACCTTCTCTACCATCATATGGTTTCATCCTTCCACAAGAAGTGAATATGAAATTCCAACAATAAGAAATGAACAAGGAGTACCTGGGTAGCTCAGTCGGTTATGTATTTGGCTCAGGTCATGATCTCAGTTCATGAGTTTGAGTCCCGCATTGGGCGCTGTGCTGACAGCTCCGAGCCTGCAGTCTGCTTCAGATTCTGTCTCTCTCTCCCTGCCCATGCCCTGCTTGTTCTCTGTCTCTGGGAAGAATATAAAAAAAAAAAAAAGAAATGGACAAAAGATTGGAGCTGAAGACCTGAAGTGCTTGCCTTTTGTCCATTAAACAGATAACTAAAACTTCTAATCTGCATTATCTATGCAACATGGGGTTTTTATTATTTTTACCTAAAGACATCTCTTTTTGGTAATGACCAATATTTTTTTTAAATTTAAGCCTGATTTTTCTCAATATGTCTTTTTTTTTTTTTTTTTTTTTTTTTAAACGTTTATTTATTTTTGGGACAGAGAGAGACAGAGCATGAACGGGGGAGGGGCAGAGAGAGAGGGAGCATTTAACTGAACAGGCTCCAGGCTCTGAGCCATCAGCCCAGCCTGACGCTGCCGCTGGTAAGTTCAACTCACGACTCATGGTAGATCGTGACCTGGCTGAAGTCGAACGCTTAACCGACTGCGCCACCCAGGCGCCCCTCAATATGTCTTTAAAGGTTTTTAAACTGTTTTCCTATCTGGTCAAGTTGAGATTTTTAAGAACCTCATTTTTAATGTGTAATGAAAGTTTACAACTTGATTTTTTCAAAAAGTGATTTTTTCAAAAAGTCAACAGTTGGCAAGCGCCTGTTAATAAAGGTCTTAAATAATTTTTAAATAGTTAAAATGGCATATTTTACGTTATATATGTTTTACCACAATATTTTTTAAGTTTATTTGTTTTTTGAGAGAAAGAGCATGAGTGGGGAGGGGCAGAGAGAGGGGGACAGAGGATTCAAAGCAGGCTCCAAGGCTCCACGCCGACAGCAGTGAGCTTGTCGCAGGGTTCAGACTCCCAAACTACCAGACCATGACCCAAGCCAAAATTGGACATTCAACCAACTGAGCCATCCAAGTGCCCCTGTTTTACACAATTTTTAAAGAAAGGTTTATTTGCCTTGCAACTAACTACATAGATGAGTGATCTGCCCTGGAAGGGATAGTTCTGCAGTCCTCGCTATTGTGGCTTTTAAGGTCATCATCATCTGCATTTAACAGCTGGTGAGATAAGCCTCTATGAAGAGATGAGCCAGGAATTTCACTCATCACCTCATTGACAGTCCCTTGTCCCATTGTATATCACGTGGCCACAACTAGTTTTAAGGAAGGGTAGGGAAGGCAGTCAAGGTACCATGTGTCCGGCAAAACCTCAGGAAATTCTATTACTATAAGAAAGAATGGGGGAGGGTGAGTATTTGGAGAAAATTGGCAGTCCAGAGAGGTCTGGGAAAACTGAAAAAGATGGAAGAAAAACTCAAACTAGTTAATTATATTTTTCCCTCCTGCCCCCTTCCTCAAACTAGTTAATTTTAGAACTTGGAGAATTATATCACGTGTTTCTCTTATCCATGTTTCCATACTTGAAGTTTTTTTTTTGTTTTGTTTTGTTACTTCAGAGCGTGTATGAACAGGGGAGAGGGGGAGAGAGAGAAAGAGAATCTTAAGCATGGCTCCATGCTCAGCACAGAGCCCAATGCAGGGCTTGATTTCATAACCCTGGGATCATGATCTGAGCCAAAATCAAGAGTCAGATGCTGAACTGACTATATGTAGTATTTGCTCTTGTACCAGGTACTTTTCTGTACACTTGACCTATATTCTTACTTGAATCTTCATTATCACACTGTGCCTTAGCTACTTTTATTATCCACATCTTACAAACGAAATAATTAAGCTTGGAAAGGTTAAAGGACTTCTCAAAGGCTCAAATGGTGGAGCCTAATTATGAACCCAGGTAGACTAACCCCAGCGTGTGATCTTCTTTAGAAACATGTCTGTAAATAAATTTGCTGATGTAATCATTGGGGGTAATTTTTCTTTAGCCCCAACATTTATTTGCTTTCTCCATGGGATTACTCTTCCTTTTGTTGTTAAAATAAATAAAGCAATATCATTATTTGTATTCTTAATACATACAGAAAGAAAAAAAAAATGTTTGTTATAATTTGAGACAAATCCCTGAAGCATTTGTAAGTGTAGAGAGTTCTACGGCATTAAGTCCATTCACATTGTTCTGCAACAATCACCACCATGGGTCTTCAGACTTGCTCATCTTTCTCATCTAAGACTCTGTACCCATTAAACACTAACTCCGAATCCTCCTGCCCCCTCCCCGTGGCATCCGCTGTTCTACTTTTTGGCTCTATGAATTTGACTCCTCTAGGAACCTCATGTAAGTGGAATCAGAATATTTATCCTTTTGTGACTGCCTTATTTTACTTAGCATAATGTCTTCAAGGTTTATCCATATTTTAGCGTGTGTCAAAATTTCTTTTCCTTTTTAAGATGGAATAATATTCCATTATACGTATATACCACATTTTCTTTTTTTTTTAATTTCTTTTTTTTAATGTTTATTTATCTTTGAGAGAAAGACAGAGCGCAAGCTGGGGATGGGTAGAGAGAGAGGGAGACACAGAATCCAAAGTGGGCTCCAGGCTCGAGCTATCAGCACAGAGCCCAACGCGGGGCTTGAACTCACGAATGGCAAGGTCATGACCCGAGCTGAAGTCAGATGCTTAACCGACTGAGCCACCCAGATGCCCCTTTCTTCTTCGTCTTTTTTTTTTTATGTTTATTTTTGAGACAGACAGAGAGAAACAGAGTGCAAGTGGGGGAGGGGCAGAGAGAGACACACAGAATCTGAAGAGGCTCCAGGCTCCAAGCTGTCAACATAGAGCCTGACGTGGGGCTTGAACTCACAAACTGTGAGATCATGACCTGAGCCAAAGTCAGATACTCAACTGACTAAGCCACCCAGGTGCCCCACATTTTCTTTTTCCATTCATCCACTGATGGACATTTGGGATGCTTTCACCACTTGGCTGATATTCATATAATGCTGTAGTGAACACAGGTGTACAAATATCTGTTTGAGTGCTTGCTTCCGCTCTTTGGGATGTATACCCCCAAGTGAAATTGCTGTATCATATGGTAATTATGTGTTTAATTTTTTGAGGAATTGCAATACTGTTTTCCATAGCAGCTATACTTTTTACATTCACATCAGTAATACACAGAGTTTCCAAATTCTTCACATCCTCATTAATACTATTTTTTTAAATAGCCATACTATACGTGAAGTTAAAGTGACAAATTTACATATATATATATACATATATACATATATATATACATATATACATATATATATACATATATACATATATATATATAAATATATATATATATATTTAACCACCAAAAAAACAGCTTAATATACATATACATTTGTTATAGTCTTGTCAATGAAATTAAATGTGGAATCACTGTGGTCCTTAAGAATACATTTTAATACATTTTAACTCTTTTTTTTTTAATGTTTATTTATTTTTGAGAGAGAGACAGAGTGCGAGCATCTGAGGGGCAGAGAGAGAGGGAGACACAGAATCCAAAGCAGGCTCTAGGCTCTGAGCTGTCAGCACAGAGCCTGATTCAGGGCTCAAACTCACAAATCATGAGATCATGACCTGAGCCGAAGTCAGACACTTAACCTACATCCTACACCCTAATACATTTTAACTCTTAAGTTTACAGTACCTAAAATTTTATTAAGACCTCATAGGAGTCCCCTGAGGCTTAAAAAGTCAATTATTTCAGAAATAAAATTGGATCGTGAATTTTTTTTTAAATATTTATTTTTGAGAGAGAGCACAAGCAGGGGAGGGGCAGAAAAAAAGAGGGAGATACAGAATCCAAAGCAGGCTCCAGGCTCTGAGCTGTCAGCACAAAGTCCGATGCAGGGCTCAAACCCATGAATTGTGAGATAATGACCTGAGCTGAAGTTGGACCTTTAACTGACTGAGCCATCGAGGTACCCCTGGATCATGAATTTTAAAAATGTCTGTAACACTGAAATGGAGTAATTTATTACAAGGTTGAGATGGTCTAAAAATATTTGACAGTTTACCAACCCCAAAACACATGTAATAACTTCCTTTTAGTTCTTTGGATCCAGTGAATTATTAATCTTTGTTTTTGTTGTTTATTACCAGGAAAACACCTTAATTCTGCAGCAGCTACTGCCACTGCGGGCCAAGGTGGCCAAACTCCTCGGCTACAGCACACATGCTGACTTTGTCCTTGAAATGAACACTGCAAAGAGTACAAGCCATGTTACAGCCTTTCTAGGTTGGGTCTCTTTTAAATCTGTTTTGTATTTCCATTTTTCTTTGTCTTTGAGTGTTGAACTGTATTTGGCTAACTGTGTATGTTCTTATTATGTATTTATCCTTTACTCTTTGTCACATATGTAAGATAAACGTGTGTTTGGTCCTGTAGGGGACATGGCAATTTGAAAGGGAGCCCCAGAGTATAAAGTGAAGCCAACAGCATGAGGAATGCTGTGAGGAGAAAGAAGGAAACTTAGGGAGTATACAAAGCGATACAGTTCTGACTAAAACTGTGAGAGCGTGTGTGAATACAGGCGGCAAGAGGGTAACTCAGATGGGAATATGCCAATTTTAAATTAAAATAAATTAGGGAGAAATTAAAATAGAATTAACCACAGTGTATAAATTGTGGCATCCATCTAAAAAGTGGAATTGCTAAAAGTGTCCAATTAGACGTTCTTCATAGGAAGGGATTAGTGATAAACCCATGGCTGTTTAGGCTTTGAGTAGTTTTTACTAATAGTGATCCCAGGTCACATCTGATTTATTTTCCCTGGCTTTTTCAGGAGTCTAATCTCATTGAAGAATAATCATGTATATGAGCTGGTCGCACTATTGTTTTGTTTCCTGAATTATAACACTCTGGAGTCAGAGTTCTCTGAGATAAACTTGAGCTTTGTTGATGGTGTGAGGAAGTTGTGGCCTGGTTTGGCTGGTGCTAAAAAAAATGGGAGGGCAAGGAGCCATGAAATAAATTACCCTGAAAAGAACAGCCGTGCTGTCATAACAGAGCCTGCTATCCATCCCTCCCTCCCTCTTTCCTTCCGCCCTTCCTTGCTCCCAATTATCTGTATCAAGTATTCAAAGCAGGAAGCACCATGCTAAAACAGCAGTATATGTATGAATGTGCTTGCTACCAGAAGCAGTAAATCACTGACTTTTCTCACTTCCCTCACAGATGATTTAAGCCAGAAATTAAAACCCTTGGGTGAGGCAGAGCGAGAGTTTATTTTGAATTTGAAGAAAAAGGAATGTGAAGAGAGAGGTTTTGAATACGATGGGAAAATCAACGCCTGGGATCTCCATTACTACATGACTCAGACGGAAGAACTCAAGTATTCCATAGATCAAGAGATACTCAAGGAATACTTCCCAATTGAAGTGGTCACTGAAGGCTTACTCAACATCTACCAGGAGTTGTTGGGGCTTTCATTTGAGCAAGTGGCAGATGCTCACGTGTGGAATACAAGTGTTACACTTTACACTGTGAAGGATAAAGCCACAGGAGAAGTACTGGGACAGTTCTACTTGGACCTCTATCCAAGGTACTGAGGATCACATTGTTGGAAGGAAGGGACCTTAGGGATTCAGTTCCTACCCAGATTAAGACTCTTGTCTTCCAGAGTTCTCTTGTGTGGTTCTCCATAATGCGAGTAGAGATACAGGCTCTGAAGCCAGAGAGTCTGGCTCCGACACTTACTAGGCAACTTACTTAATGTTCCTGTGCCTCAGTTTCTTGACCTACATTATAGGTCCGATAAAATAGGAATGTTACTTCTACCTGCTTTGTAGGGTTGGAAGGATAAAATGATTAATCACATGCAAAACATTAATTGGAAGACTACCCAGCATATAGCAATTGCAGCAATTTGCAGCTGTTATCATGGCTATCATCATCATCTGGTTTGTGTACTACACTTACTTAATTTTAAATTGGCCCCCAAAATATTTGTTATTCAGGTAATCTGTCTGCCAGTACTCTTCAGTCTATGGCCACTTCCCTGAGTCTGGCTGAGAGGCAGCATAATACAGTAAGAATACCACAGTCTTTGAATTTTTTTAAATTTTTTTTTTCAACGTTTATTTATTTTTGGGACAGAGAGAGACAGAGCATGAACGGGCGAGGGGCAGAGAGAGAGGGAGACACAGAATCGGAAACAGGCTCCAGGCTCCGAGCCATCAGCCCAGAGCCTGACGCGGGGCTCGAACTCACGGACCGTGAGATCGTGACCTGGTTGAAGTCGGACGCTTAACCGACTGCGCCACCCAGGCGCCCCTAGAATACCACAGTCTTTGTAGTCATTCAAATTGAGTTGGGATGCTTAAGTGACTTAATCTCTTTGAGACTCCATCTCTTCCTCTGTAGTATGGGGCTGGTGATCCCTTTATAGGATTGTTCTGTGCATCAGGCTGTATATGCATATCACCCAGGCTAGGTATTCAGCCAATGATAAGAATTCAAAATACTATCTCTGAAACATGTGGTAACTATGGACTCTGTTTCATCAGACATGAAAGGATTTGAATCACATTCTCTCTAGGCTGCTTTCTTTTTTTTTTTTTTTAACATTTTTTTTTTAATGTTTATTTTTGAGAGGTGGGGGAGGGGCAGAGAGTGGGAGACACAGAACCTGTAGCAGGCTCCAGGCTCTGAGCCCAACGTGAGGCTCAAACCACGAGATCATGACCTGAGCCAAAGTCGGATGTTTAACTGACTGAGCCACCCAGGCGCCCCTCTAAGCTCTTTTCTAAACCAAAGCCAGCCTGTTAACCAATTACCAATTCATCTTACTAAATAGGCCAAAGGAAATTACAGTATCCCCCTACTTGAGCAGCATAAACAAGTTTTTAATCCACAGACTTTAGGTGACTTTGGGTAGCTGCTGGGAGGGAGGCTGAATAACTATGCCGTTCAGACAAGTGGATGGACAGTGATGTCTTATCCCAATGTTTTATGGACTTAATTTCACTTTTGATATGGTCTAAAAATAAGCCCTTGTCAAATATAGATGGATCTATTTTTAATTGAAGAGTGTCAGCATACAGTTTTAAGCAAGAATTCTTTCAGGAGAGATCCTTCAACCTTGGAGTCTTCTGTAACTGTCCCCAAATTCTACTTCCAGTGTCAAAGTTAGCAGTTCTTGCCACCCCATCCTGCTGTCTCCCTGCCAGCATATCATTGATTTCTTTCATACTCTAATATCTGGCCATTCCTACCAGCACTGGTATGGGGATCAGAAGCTGATCTCTTGTGAAAGTAGTGACCTACTTAATATTCACTTCCTGTCACCTTTCTGTCACTCCATAAAAGTAAGATAGGGTAATTTGTGTTGTGACTCAAAAAAGGATTTTTGGAATAGGTCTAAGAAAGACCAGTTACTTTTTTTTAATCACATTTCAATTTTTTTCATTGAATACTGAGATTTTCAAAAGAAAAACAAAAGTATTATGATGGTTCCGATAGAAGATGCCTGATAAGAAAAGGACATTTTTTTTTAAATCCACATCATTTTATAAACAATATGTGAAAAGGCAAAACCTCAGAATAAAGAATCCCTTAAAATTAAATGTGTCAAGTTTATTTTTTAAAAGGAAAGATTAAAAACCCCTCAATGGCACTGAGTTTTAAATTGATAGAAAATCTGATTTTAAGCTATTCTTACACTTTAAAAATTCTCCAAATACCTCAACCCTTGTCTCTCTAACATAGTAGCACTGACATTATTCTCAAATTAGGAATACTTTGGAGGGGGTGTGGGGAGGATACATTTTTAGCCTTTCATAATGTACCAAGAGGTATAAAATATAACAGGATATACATGTTCCAGATTACTTTAGTTATTTTTCCTCCGTTAATAATAAGATTTATGGATCTCTTTATGCATTTCCAACTAACCACACAAAATTCTTCCAGAAACACTGATTAGCCCATTGAACAACCAGAAGGTTGGCTGGCTGAAAATTTTATGACATTCGTTGTACAGTTTCTGGTGTACATGTTCATGGGTTCTCTCCCCTCCTCTCTCCGCCTTCCCTTCTCATGTCCCTGCTCAGGGATGATTCAGCCTGTTCAGTGGTCCCGCCCCACCCTCAGTGATATATCTGGGTCCACACTATCTCCCTGTCCCTCCTTCAGAAGTAGAGGTTTGTTTCTCTTCTCTTTCCCAGTGGCAGTGCGTTTTCACCAGTGCTGATAGGACAACAGGGTTTGTTGCCTTTCCTCCCAGAAGGCAGTGCTTCATTCCTTTATCAAGGTAGAGGCTCCCTATCTCCAGGCCTACATCAAGACTGATGCTGTCTCAGGGCTGTCATCCTGCTACCGTCCTTTTGTGTGTGTCCAGGGAGAAGACCCTGCAAATGGCTATATTATTTATATATATATTGCTTATATATTTATATATATATATATATATATA